CCTCCCCGATCTTCCTCCCCGATCCTCCTCCCCGATCCTCCTCCCCGATCCTCCTCGATCCTCCTCCTCGATCCTCCTCCCCGATCCTCCTTGATAATCCTGCTCATCCGTCGATCCTCCTCGATCCTCGCCGCAATTCGATTCTCGATTCTCGATCCCCGATTCAGATCCCCCACGTGGACCGGATTTTTATCCCGAGTCGTTTTGTTGATGCTCCCAGGGCTTGGCGAGGGCCCCTTGGGGCCGAAAAGTGCCCAGTCCCCCTGTCGTGACTGTTCCATGACCCGAGGGTGTCTATGGATTCTCTTCGATCCTCCTCCTCGATTCTCCTCGGTCCTCCTCCTCGATTCTCCTCCCCTGTCCTCCTCCCTAGGAGTACCCCACGGGCGGAAAGTGTCGCAAGAACTTGTCGTGCCATCGCCCGAGAAAGCCGAGGGGGTCTGAGTCCCCCTCCTCGTAATCTCTGACGTGGCAGTCTGAAGGCGCAGAAGCAGCTGGCGCTGGGGCTGCTTCCGCAAGTGGGGCTCTCCGGCCACCTCGAGCCGCAGGCAGCGGCAGTGCCGCGAGCGGTCTGCAGTCCAGGTTCGACTGCCACCGCATCTCGGTTGCAGATCGGTCACTCATTGCTCCCCTCTCTCCCTGCCTCCCCCTTGCTCCCTTGTCCCCCCTCTCTTCTCCCCTTCTTCCCCACCTGTCCCTTTCTCCTTTCTTTCTCCTTCCCCTCCTTGTCCCACTTTCTCTTTTCTTTCCCTTATTTTTTAAAATATCCCCCTTGTCCCCCCTTTCTTCTCCCCCTTCTTCCCCATCTTCCTTCCTTCTTTCCCTTCCCCCCTCCCCGCCCCCTGCGCCCTGCTTCCCCTTGCTCTCCGCCCCTCCTCCCTGCCTCAACCAAGGAGGGAGAAAGAGATATTGAGAGAGAGAGAGAGTGACAGAGAGAAAAACCTGACGATCTGCTGGTTTGGGCAGACGATGATGATGATGATGATGATGATGATGATGATGATGATGATGATGATGATGATGATGATGATGGTGATGATGGTGATGATGGTGCTGATGATGGTGGTGGTTGTGGTAGTGATGATGATGGTGATGGTGATGGTGATGGTGATGATGGTAATGATGGTGGTGGTGGTGATGATGAGGAGGACGACGATGACGATGATGAGGATGAGGATGATGATGATGATGGTGGTGGTGGTGGTGGTGGTGATGATGATGATGCTGATGCTGATGCTGATGCTGATGCTGATGCTGCTGATGATGCTGATGCTGATGATGATGATGAGGAGGAGGATGATGATGAGGATGAGGATGAGGACGAGGATGAGGATGAGGATGAGGATGAGGATGAGGATGAGGATGAGGATGAGGATGAGGATGAGGACGAGGATGAGGATGAGGATGAGGATGAGGAAGAGGAAGAGGAAGAGGAAGAGGAAGAGGAAGAGGAAGAGGATGAGGAAGAGGAAGAGGAAGAGGATGAGGATGAGGATGAGGAAGAGGAAGAGGAAGAGGAAGAGGATGATGAGGAAGAGGAGGAGGAGGAGGAAGAGGAGGAGGAGGAGGCTTAAGAGGCCTCCTCATACCCCCTCAGTCCCAACGCCTGGGCCCCTCCTACCACCCAGGCGGTCAAGTACCTGGACTTCGTCCAGGCGAACGGGGGCCGTGGCAACGAGGCGTGCACTTACCTCAAGAGTGCCGGGGCCCCAGCTGGACTCCTCCCACCCCCGTGCTCCCTTTCTGTCCCACTCCCCCTTCTAATCCTTCCACCCGCGGCCGTCTTCTTCTCCGCTTCCTCGCGCCACTTTCTCTCCTCGGGGGGAGGGCAGGCGCGTTCAGTTTTTTTGTGCCGTTGCGTTTTACGCGAGGAATTATCGAGGCGATCCTGCTGGAAGCCCCAGCTTCCAGCTTCTCCTTCCTCCCTCCTGGTCAGGGAGGCCGGCTGCGGGGATCGACTACGCTGATCGGCCACACGCAGAGGGCTTCTTAGAAGCACCCCTGCTTCACAGAGAGGCGGGGGCCTCGTCCACAGATGTGGGGCCGGCGCCTTCCAGGAAGCAGCCCCCTGCTGAGCAGCCTTCCGCCGTCCGCCCCACACCCCTTTGTGCGCGCCGCCAGCCCCGGATCGCCGTTGGCGATGCGACAGCAGGTCCTTGCTCGCTTGGGTTAAGTCGGGCCTGTCCCTCTACAGGAGGAATATTCAAGAATAGTCCAAAAATAGTCAGGGATATTTTTGTGTGAGCATTTTTTGACCATTTGGGGGCATGTTTGGGGTATTTTTTATTCTTCTTCCACAATCCCCCCGTAGGACAGGCCCGACTTAACGCTTGGGTTTGGTTCCCCCGCGGCTCCCCGGCGGCCGCGCACCAGGGTCACTCCTTGCCTCTTGCCCAGGGTATGAGCAGCCCTCGCGCACGAGCATCGGGAGGGCGGGCGTGGACGACGATGAGGACGACGGGCCGATGGCGCGAACAGCATTAAGTCGGGCCTGTCCTCCTACAGGGGGATTTTGGAAGAAAAATGAGAAATACGGAAAATTTCCCCCAAAATGGCCAAAAAAAATTACAAATCGTCCCCAGGTTATTTCTTGACTATTTTTTAATGTTCCTCCTGTAGAGGGACGGGCCCGACTTAAAGCAATGGCGATGATGGTGGTGTGAGGATGGGGGTCGTGCGAGGGAGGCGGGGGCGGGGATGAAGCTGGCGCCGGTGCATGGCAAAGAGGGTTTGCGATGCCAATGTGTGCCACGGACGGGGGCGCGAAGATGACAGCTATTCGATTGGGGCGCGAAGATGCCAGCTATTCCATGGGGGGCGTGAGAGCTCCAGGTGTTGGATGGGAGCGCGAAGGTAACAGCTATGAGGATGGTAGTGGAGGGCCTGAGCGGACCTGATACATGCTCGGGGCTGGACAGAACCCCCAACAGTGACACGTCGATTAGTGAATTGTCCGTTTTCGGTTCTCGAGAGGGCGCCGTGGCCGTTATTTTTCAGGCTTGCGCCCGCCAGGTTTGGGCCTCAGGTCGTTTTCACTAAACCACGTTTTACTAAAGGGAGGTCTGTCCATCCCCGACATGCGTACCCAACGGTGATGCAATGCACCATCCAGCCCCGTGCCATCGCCTCAGACGTCCATCCGAATTGGGGTCGCGGGCGGGGTGCGGCCCTGCGTCCGAGTACTGTACACCTTAGGCGATGCTTAAGAAAACTTATTTTTTCGGCCAGAGTCTCGATTATTCTTAATGTTTCAATGTAAATCCTAAGATTTGAATACAAATTCTGGGTTTTTATTCACGTTCTGAGACTATGAATTTCTGAACCCATGATTTCTTAAGCATTTCGCAAGGTGTAGCCATTTTGGCTCAAGCGTGGAGTGATGAGTACAGTCCGCCCATTGTCGCTGAAATTTGCCAGCATTGGCTTCGAGTGCAAATGCTATCTGAGCGCTGGCGGCGACGACCCCGACGACGCGTCCCGCCTAGCTGTGTGGGCTGAGTTGAGGTGCGTTCACAGTTGCCTGGGCCACCGCGAGGACCTCTGGGACTGGCTGAGGCCTCGCATCCGAAAGGAGCTCGGCGAGCCATGGCTCTCCAGGCACGGCCTGGACAACGCAGCAGTGATCAGAGCGGCCCGACACGTGCCTAGGCCGCTTCTCGTTCGTCCTCGACAATGCGGCGACGCACGGGGGCGCGGTCGAGGCGGCGCAGGGTGTTCGGTCCGACCTGGAGCGCCTGCTGACACTCGAGAAGATGCGCCTGGTCAGGGATGACATTGAGGAGGTGCCCGCGGAGGTCGATTGGACGCGCGTGCCGATTAACAGGGTCATCATGCACACGTTCGATCGGCCTCCGATGCGCGATGCTGCTGGCGAGGAGGCAGTCGAGACGGTGCGAGACATGGCGTGTTCAGCTCACTCGGAGGTGCTCTCATCCTCGAGAGCATCTGCAACATTCCGAGGAGAGTGACGCTTGGCTCGACTCGCGACTCTCCTTCGGAGTGCGCCCGCCAATGCGATTTCACTGCGAGCGCTCTTCTGGGGGGGCCGCGGCGCCCCGACCGCTGACGTTGAGACCGGCGCGGGCGGGAAGGTCAATGCAGAGGCACAGCGGGCCCCCCGCCAACGATCCTGGCCAAGGAGTGGCCAGAGATCATGGCGCCACGCACGGGGTGGACATCGAAGGCGCCAGAGAAGAGCAGCACCGGCATCCATGCGTGGATGTGGCCTCGGTTTGCCAGTCGCGGGGGGCTGCTGGACGCATTCGATGCCAGGGTGTGTTCGCTGTCGATCTGGTTTCTCCCAGGGGCGGTCGCGCGCCGCGCAGTGCGCCGCGGTGTGCTCATGGTGCTCAAGGCATCGATCTACGGCGCGTGGTTGTGGCCGATGGAGATGGTCCATGGCGAGCCAGAGACGTGCGTGCTGCAGCTGGATGCGGGCCCCATGCTGCTCTTCGTGTGGGTGCTCGGCGGCTGGCAGGCGTGCGAGACCTCCATTGTCGCTCCATGCGAATTCGGGTTCGTCCCTCCCGTCACCGCCTGGGCTGCGACTCCGACGACGAACGACTGACGGAGACGACGACTCGAACGGCCAAGCCCCTCAAATACGCCGACAGGGTCGGCGGATTTGCGCAGCGCGTGGACGACATGCGCCGCACCGATGGCTACGACGGTGACCGTGACCTGTCAGTGTTGTTTCCTGCCATAGTGCAGCGGAACGATTGGGAAACCGGCACGTGGTTGTTTCTGGAGGAGAGCTTGAGGGGGGAAAGGGGCAACGGGAGAAGGGAAAGGGGAAACGGTGGGGCTCGATCTTCGGTCTTCCTCGCTCCTCCTCGATCCGCTTGTTCATCCTCCTCCTCGAGCGCCGATCCTCAAGCCTCGACCCTCGACCCTCGATTCTCGAGCCCCTCGACCCTCGAGCCTCGAGCCCCTCGACCCTCGAGCCTCGATTCTCGAGCCTCGACCCTCCACCCTCGAGCGTCGATCCTCGAGCCCCGACC